ATCTCGATTTGTAATTGTTGTATACAGAATTCTAGATACCCAAGAAACGTACTTATAAGGCATTTATGTGGCACACGGGATGTTGAATGACGTAAGATAAACATTCTTCCTTTCATGAATCGTGACCTTACTTAACATTCCTTAAGGAAGATTGAATTACATTTGAACAGGAAAGCAAAAAATACGCAGGCATCCTTGATCACTTTAACAGAAATTAAATGTACCTACCTATCTATTCTTAATTTTTGTGTGTGTCGGTTAAACCGTTGCCATGCCACCGGTTAAACTACCTAGGACAGGGGTCGGCAACCTATTGAAACGGAAGAGCTAAAAATTACAATTTACAAAATTTCCCAATTCTTAAAGAGCCACAAATAATTTTTGATTCAATATTATAGTTTTTGGCTATATACAGGGTCCTGCAACAGTCCGTCGGTTTTTCCTAAATAGCTGATAGATACCTGGTAAAAATATTGGTGGTTGCGGATCTACAGAAATTATTTTTGAATGTACAGGGTGTTCCATTCCATTTTTACGATGTCAATTAATAACTGATCTTTTTAAATAGAACATCCTGAATATTTGGTTGTTTCAATGCCGTTTGTTCAAAGTGCTATAACTATTCTTTTTCAAATGGAACTACCACTATTTTATTTCGCTATTCGCTTTTGTCTTCTCTTAAATGTTTATAAGGGGTGCCCTGTGCTTAAACTCCGCAGTGTTTAGGTTATTTCACAAAAGTACCTACTCATTAATTAATTACGTGTTTATACATCGGAGTAGGCTGGCTATAATAAAAAAAAACAAAAGAATACCAGAAAGTAAACAAGTGTCAAAAATTAGATAATTATTTGCTGCAAGTATACTTTTGATACAAAATAAGATTAATTAAAAAGGCGAATTTCGAACAAATGAACTAATTTCTTTAAATAAATACGGAGAGCCGCAACTTTATAGGTATCAAAAGAGCCGCAGGTTGCCGACCCCTGATCTAGGATCACACGTCACACCTGGCAATTTTGATACAAAATAAAAAGGTCGTTAACCTCTTTTCTTTTAAATTCTGACGTTTGAAATTTGTTCTCAATGGTTAATCGATAACTTATCGATAATTATCGATTAATAGATAGTCAATCGATAAATTTAAAAAAAAATGGTCGACCGGTCAACAAAAAAAGAATTTTTTGCGCATGGGATTTACACAATATATATTCTGACTATAATAAGCAAAAATAAATAAAAAGTGCGATTAAGACATCGAAAATATTTGCTTTTACAAAAGTTACAGCGGTTTGATTGAAAGCTTTCAGGGGCGAAAATTAAAGCGGAATCTTTGTTTTCCCTAAAAAAAAGAAAAATGGAGGGTGATATTTTTCCGCGGTTACTTAGCAAAGAGGAAAAAAAATCCTGGAACAGTTTTAAGGCAATAGTCCATGGTTTCCCGTTCAGTGTTTCCTGGGAAACCATAGAGCTGAAAATTATGACGAGCTGACAGGATTTGGTTTTGTATCATGGGGTATAGAATGTCTCTAAAGAATAAAGATGCACAGGTTACATTCTCATTTAGATCAATTTAAGGATAATATGGGAGCTTATTTGGAATAAGGACAACACTTTCTCGAGACAATGGAACTTAGGTACCTTCCCAAGGCTAGGAAGTTGGAAGCATGATGGATCAGATTCAGTTGAACATGACAAAAACAGCAAAACTGTTACATTTTTAAACATTTAGACTCTAAGATAAACAAATTATAAATGTAGAAACGTTACCATTTAATAAATCATGCCTATGTAAGTAGGATTCTATAGGTATTTTTTTTTTAGGTTTTTTGCATTTTTTTCACACAAAAACAAATACATAACCATTTTTTGTTCTAATTCTTATTTGTGGCTATAGAAGCAATAAAAATAAGGTATATATGTCCCGTGCGCAAAAATGCTGTAGACCGGTGTAGGTAATTTATCGAAAATGTTAAAGGATTGGTCGATAAACCTATAATTACCGATAATCTATCGATTAATCTCACAACTAAACTATTAAGATAGATAATTATCGAGAGAATTTTTAACGACATAAACTTTTCAATGTTTAGGTATACCAGTTTACTTCCAACAAAAGCGATGTAAGAGCATTGTTGAGTTGCCATATGATCACAATTCACAACCTACTGCTGTACTCATTTTTGAGGATTATCGTCCACTTGATCACCTTTGATTTCAGAAAACTTGAGCATCAAAAGATCCTGTTTTATTTAAATTATCTCTCGCAATATCAATACCAAAAAAACAAAAATGTTAGCGAGTGTACGCATGGATGATGTAATATATCGATTGAGAATATATATCGATGAGATTTATGAAAAAGTATCGATAGTTTTCTCTTGATAATTTCCGCTACTTATTTATTAATCAATAAATATCAGAGATAGACAATTTTCGTGGCAATAATAATCGATTATTATCAGCAGCTAACAATCATTATTAATTATTTTCAAAAGTTATCGATAATTATAAAAAGTTATCGATAATTATCAAACGTTATCGATCATTATCGAAAATTAGCCTTACGATTTATCGATAATTGTCGATTATTATCGAAAGTTAACGATAAGTGATTAAAGTTATCGATAATTATCGATAGTTATCAATTAATGATTAATCGATAATTATCAGACTGAACAGACTTATCGATAAATCGATAACAATTTCATTTATCGCTCAGCTCTAGTAGGTATACGAATTCACGTAAACTGGGACCGATTTATTTGTGCACAATGCTGCATGGTTATAAAAAAGCTGATTCGCGAAATTTAGTTATCAAATGTGAATGTGGAAATGATGTAGCTGCCTGCTTGCAACGGACAATATTTTGCCTTCAAATTTTTTTTGATCGTTTTTTAATAACAAAATCTCCCGCTTTCAGTAAAAATGTGGAACCTGCCTATTTTACTGCCTGTGAATAGAATGTATGAAATTGCATTCCTTCAAGGACAAGGACTGCAAGCTTCGTTCGTCTAAATGTATTATTATTTACATTACAAATTTACGCAATGCTTCTTAAGGGATCTATTTTTAGAACATTCCAATCCTATTTATAAAACCATTCCAATGATAACACAAAAAACATCCGGAGTTCCTGACATCTGACGATTAAAAAGGAAAATATTCGAATGGTCAAAATAAATGGTTTGTAATGCTGCCATCTAATGTCAATGTAACGCTCCACTTTCGATCGCCCACGGACTTTCAAACGATCGAACTGCTCCTAGCGGCGGCCAGTTGGCACATGGTCACAAACTGTTATATGGGATCCGCGCTTCTGATAGTTATAAATTCAATGGCATTACTAATTATCAAACTGTTGGCAAGCAGTCGCCATTTTTTTTAATCGTAATTTAAACTAAGGTCGCTGAAAATCGCGAACTTGTTTGTCCATGCACATATTTGCTGAAACGCGCGAAATTGGATCAGTTGCTACAGAAGCGCAGAGGGGACACATCAATTGGTTTTTATTTTTTGGCGAAATTTCGACTTCCAACACGGAATGTCGACTTGCAACACGAATATTCGATTTCCAACACGAAATTTTGACTTGCAACGGAAAATTTCGACTTGCAACACGAAATTTCGACATTCAACACGAAATTACTTATTAAGTAAGTTTTGTAGTGTTTTTGTAAAAATATTGCATCTGAATTGGTTGTCCAATTTAACGTTCGCTTAATCGATGTTTAAGCCGTTAAGAGTAGGGATAGAACAACTGATAGGGAACTTTATGCACTACAAAAATGGTAAGCTGACCTTTTTTGCTAAATAATAATAATAATAATAATAAATGTCTTTAATAGTACCTATAGGTTACATTACATAGAAGTGTGTACAAAGGGCGAGATTCAGTAATGGAATGAAACATATGTACATACAATTTCTGCTCTTCCATCTAACCCCTAAATGGCGTAGTTTTCCTGTGAAATGCTAAAATAAAAAACGAGTTTCTCATCCCTTCCCCTGATCGGAGGGATTCTAAAATTTCGGTGTGAGTCAATGGTCATTATGTCACAAAGCAGTGTATGAATCAGGGGTTGAAACCGGAACCGAAAAGAACCGGTACCGGAACCGGTTCCTGATTGCATTAAAATGCCCCTCACTGGGAACCGGAACTGATTATTTAAGAAGTTATGATATCCGGAACCGATACCGGTACCGTTAGTGCCAAAGAATAGGTATTTTTCGGTTCTATCACTGTTAGAGTAGGCACGTTGCGCTATGTGTGGGGGAATTGCGTTTTATATGCTCTTAAAATTTGATTCTGATGCGTTTTCTTAGATTTAATATTATTCATTTAGCTTATATCATTGAATAATAATTATTCAATGCTTATATACAGGATGTTCACCGAGGAATGGTACAGCGCGATATCACGGGAACGAATATAGGGTTTGAAATTCTTAAAACTTTGTTATATGTAAATGTAAGCTAGGGCCATATATCTTATTTACGTAAACGAGACAGGTTGGGAGCACATATAAGTAAAGTTATCACAAATATCGTTGGTCTAGCGCACAAAGGTGCTAAGTATCAATTAAAATAAGTTTTGTTTTTGAACGAATTATTTTTTTTTTGTAAACTGTACACAACTGTTTGATGATACTTTGAATAAACCCTTAACTTCTTCATTACCTAATGTATTAAACTCATGTTGCACTAAATTCCAAAAATCGAATTAAAAGTAGCATATTCCATTTAAAAGAATTCAGTTAGGTAGCGCCCCCTGGCGATAGCCCATTTCATTTAAAAACTTTTTCACAAAATATTTCGCCTTCGATATAGCCCTAGCTTACATTGATAACAAAATTGTAATAATTTTAAAATCTGCATTCGTTTCCGAGATATAAAATTTCAAAACCCAAAAATCCAAATTCACCCTTTTATTCAGAGCTATCCACTAATTTCTTAACTTAACCTTAATACCAAACAAATATAAAATACCTATTTTAGAGTGACTAAGATCGAAAATGAATCAAAAACAGTAAGAGGGTTGAGAAATGTATAAGGAAAGCATAATAGTTGAAACTATACTGCTGAAGAAAAGGAAACTAGGAAAAGACAGGCAGTTGACAGTAGTGAAACGAACTAAAAATAAGTTTCAATTAACCGTAAACAATATGTAAGTATGTAAAAGAATCAATGTACTTTAATTTTGTGTATTATTATTTGTTTTCTATAATTAATAATTTATGTTTTTTAATCATATTTAATTTATTTATGTTGGAACCCTTAAAAACCGAAAGAATTGGAACCGGAACCGAAACCAAAAATTACTGAAGCCACAGGACCGAAACCCTTAACAATAATTCTACCTAAATAGGTCGGAACCGGAACCTATATTTCGTATGGGTTCCAACTCCTGCCTCCTGGTATGAATAGGTGTAAGGTGTCATTAAATATTCTCTTCTTTTATTGCAGATAGAAGGCTACGGCAATGAGAGAGTGAAGGAGAGGAGAGTGAAGGAGAGGAGAGTGAAGGAAAGGAGAGTGAAGGAAAGGAGAGTGAAGGAGAGGAGAGTGAAGGAGAGGAGAGTGAAGGAGAGGAGAGTAAAGGAGTGGAGGGTGAGGGGTCGTAGCTGTTTGCATATCTTTTTTATCAATAGTATATTGAAAGACAAGTGTTACAATGCGACCTATTGTAATACGACTATCTTGTGGCACAAGTGGCGACGCGAAGCGTAGCCACGAGTGTCCGCAAGATAGGAGTATTACAATAAAGCATTGTAACACGAGTTTTTCATTCTATTTTTTCTATTTCGGTGCTTTAATTTAATTAAAAAAATCATTATCAGAAACTAGAGGGAACATTAGAACTAACATGTTTTATGTTGGGAACACTTTTTATGCCGTTAAGTTTTAGGTTGGCAGCGTAGTAAGACTGCAATGTAAGACTGACATTTTGAAGTTTAAACATGGAAGTACCCAACGAAGTACCTACTTGTACTAACTAGTAACTGCCAACTTAAGAGATGAGTTACCAAAAAGAAACGACTATAATCACTGTCTTTGTACAACTGTTTTCGGCCGAAAACACTTGTACATCATCATTGTGACACCGAAATAGAAAAAAATGTGTGTAATAAGATTTCCCTTTTTGAGTAAAATATTTAGCTCGATATTTAGTTTTGATGAAATCAAATCATTCTCAAAGGCGTTTTTTCCCAAATGTAAAAATGTTAATCAACTTTGAGGTTTTGATTTAGTGGTTAGAGTGGCGATAAGATAAAAGTTGTTAATACATCTAATCGATAAAGAATTTTATGCTCTACAAAAAAAAGTAAATACACTTTTTTTGATAAAGAGTGTAGAGTTTGAGTTATCCTGTAAAACGCCAGAAACTAAAAAAAATATATCGTTAGAGGGCTCACCCTTCCCTGCCAGAGGGAACGGATGGCTCCCCATCTAAAATTGTTTGTTTTGGGCCAATATACAAATGTGGAAAGCAGCTTACTTTAATCATCAAACGCCCTATAATCGAATTTTTCGGCTATTGGAGGATATTATTAGTTGAAATTGAACGAGAGAAAGGACCTACGAGTGGAGTTATTCTGCGGATAAAATTGGACCTCCGAAAATTGTCAGCCTGCATACCACAATATGAATGCAACCGTCTGTCATCAGTAAATTGTAAACCCTATGGTTTGGAACAAATATAAGAATTATTTAAAGCGGCACTTTACCCACTTTAGCCCTGGGCTTACCCAAAATACTAATATAACTGTCGATGGAATAACAATTAATAAACAATGATTATACCTTGAGTAAAATATACCGATATACGTAAGCGCCAATATCTAGATGAAACAGAGCACCTGTCCAGATTTACAAATTTTCCCGTGCATTTTGACGTCACAGTAGTCAGTATCCGAATCTATATCGACATATTATAGAAATGGACCCCGCGTACCAATGCCAAGCGCGAATACTGCAGGTGAGCGAGAGGGGACACTAACAGGAAAGCGCTCTCTTTATCGCGCTTGTGTTGGTCGCACTGCCACAACTATTGTCGATTGTATAATTTGTACATGCCACCAACAAGAGCGCGCTTGCCTCTTCCCTCGCGCATGTATCGTGGCATGCCAATATTTGCTTTTGTTTATAATCCCTATCCCTAACCTAAATTTCTAATTTCATTTTATATGATAATGGGAAAAGCAAAGAAGAGATAGTGACAGTGGTATGCACGGACCTCTTGGTATAGGCTTTGAATGAATAAACAAAGGTATACTAAAAATGTGTTCAGCCAATTTAATCGCCGCCTGAAATTTGGTGCTGGAAACGGTTGTCATAAGCGCTGATTCGCTGAATACGGCTGAACGCGCCCATAGTCTAAGTTGCATCCGGTGGCCTACTTAATTGTTTACTCATTTATCTAATAAATCAAAATGTTTGCATCTGTAATCTAAATATCATTGAATTTATGAGATAGTTATAAATTCAATGCTAATATGTAGAATGTCGGAAGTGTGTCATGACTCCTCCCTTTGCTACGCCACTGTTATCCCAATAAAAAACATTCAAATTTTAAGCGCGAAATTTGAATTCACTAGCTAGATCTTTGACATTGATAATTCCCAAAACAATGAAGGTCGTAGGAAAATAGAATAATTAAATTATGCCTAAAGAAAAATTGTTAGAATTCGAACCACATATATTTAATTTTGATTAAAATGACTAAAAAAGAAGGACATTATTGTTTTCTTTTCACTTACCTAGTTAGGGGTCTGCATAATTACAATCCACGTTCACGTAATGCGTCTATTGCTACACAGTACATACTTCCGTACCAAGGTTTTATTTTAAAAGTGACGAATCCTTCGACCAATTAAACCGACGAAACTTATAACTGATAGCGTTCTGGTTTTTACTATTTGCCCATTTTGTTTGCCAAACTTCACTAATCACTATAATTATTTATAAATTTAAAATACATAGTGACAGTCAATAACCTAAAGTAGGTATATAGGGTGAGAAATAAATGTTTTCAAATAAGAGGTACTAACCTCAAACTGCCGAAGACAAAAAGGTAGATTAACTGCACAATGAATATCGAATTACGTAAACTTCCACCAAGTTCCTTGCGAGGACTTGTGCAGATATTAGAGTGTAACGATTCGTGGAAAATTCTAATGGACAAAATCCCAAAGTTACTCGAAAAGGAAAATTACGAATGCTCTCTCAGTCTGACCAATGTGAGAAAGTATCGTACGGAACATTTTAAGTAACATATTTCCAAATCGTTGACTATCCTGGTAACATTTACATTGTTGCAGATTAATCGAAAATGCATCCAAGACCACCGGCCGAGCGTGTACTGAAATATTATTCGACGAATGGGGTACTTCAGGCCGTATTCGTCCCGCCTTAGGACACCTGTTGTTCTTACTTACCTCAGTGGAGCTGTTCGCAGCCGCTGACTATGTTGCCGTTAAATTACTGAATAAGGAGCCTCCTGCGCGGCCTTCGGATGGCCCTCCTGCTCCAGTTGTAATTCCGACCATGCCGGATAAACAGATTCAGGAAGTAGAAAGGATATTAAACGAAATCAATTATCCCAGCTCTGTCATTTCGATGCTCAATAGTAATTCGGGCGATGTTAATGTAAATCGTAGTAGTGGTAGCAACCAAGTTATTGTGCCTCCGAAAATTGTGATTAGTGAAATCACAGATTTCACACCTCTAGTTATCGATCGCTCGAGTGAAAGTCGGCGACAGCGTTTGACGCGACAAAATGCAAGTGCTCCTGTTTCAGATATGATTGTGTTTTCGCATACTGTGAGAGAAGCAGAAGAGGTGTCAGATATGATTCACTTTTCTCAGACGGTGTCAAGTGCCAGTAATATTGTTCCACACATATCTGATTTGATTGATTCCGGTTCAAATAACCAGTCTGAGGAATCTAAAACTTTAAGCTGTGGGGATATCAATCAGTTGAGCACCATTTTACCAGATTTAAGTGCCTTGGATGTTGGTGCTAATGCTGCAACTTTACCAAAGGAAGAAATAAGTAAGTAGGTGTACCTCATCGAGTACCTCATAGTGTAGGTACACCAACGTTCATTATTTCTGAATCTCTCTCTCCCACCAAATTTTTACTTATGCACTCGCCGCGTTAAGAACCCGAAACGAACCCAACGAGAACCAAGCTTCGGCTATGTTTTTTATACATGAAAGACCGTCCCTCATGCTCAGTAACTACGGTTTTTTGAGTCTGTGGCGTTTCGACGCTTATTTGGTTTTACACTCGCTTTTTATCTTAACGCGCTTCATTTTCTCGCATATTAGTTACATTCTCTTAAACCAGGGGTTGGCAACCTTTTGTTGTAGAAGGTCCAAATCGAGGTCCAAATATTTTACTGGGAGGTTATGGGTTACACATCTCGGATTACATGCAGTTACAGTATTCCTACAATATTTCTGTATTTAAAATTTAAAATTAAAAAAATTATCAAAGTCTTCAGCGCATTTTTGGGTGCAGAGCAGTATTCTATTATCCAGTTTTTACTCTCTTGTTGGGGGCTACTACATTATCCTTTTGTCAAAATGTCAAAATATTTACGTGTCGGTATTGTATCAAAACCCTACATTGATTTACACACCTTTGTAACAATACCATAAACCAATGTTATTTTACGTCAAAATTATGTGATACTTAGGTTGTACAAAAATAATAAAAATGATTTACTGTCTTCTTTACTAGCAATTCAAAATCTTAATAATAAATTGAACTCAGCTGGAAGATTCTTATTGTTTAATATTAATTCGTCAATTGGGAAAATATACTTTCTTTCATATGAGTCCACACACGATAAATCATATAGGTACATTTGGATTTTTCCAAGCTGGTTGAAGTTCCCACTTAACACACAAATAAGTGGGTACATTAAACGTCTAGTGTATGTATATATGTGGACCTTTTGTACCAACATAGTATGTACCCGTATATACAGAATTTGTACATTGGACGTCTATTGCAACTCTAAATGTCAACGATATGAACATCTTAGGTCGGTACATACCGAGGTACATACTGTATGCCCTATGGACGTTCATTCATAGGACATTCCAGTCGTTTTATTGCATTTCAAATTAACAAATAAAACAGCTATTTTGAAAACGATATCTATTCAAAAACTGTTAAAACAATCCGGAAATAAAATAATGTATCGAAAAATTACTACCTTTCCTGACGTTCACTGACGGACGGACGGACAGAAAGTCCCAGGATTTAATTTCGTCCGCTAATTGTCCGTATTTAACGTAATAATTTGCTAAGCCGTAAATTATCTCTTGAATTTGAAGATCACCAAACTTTAATTCACTCCCACTACTGTTCGCATTTAACGTAATAGTTTCTTATTCTCAATTTGTTTTACACTTGCTTAAGCGTTATTACCATAGACGCACGCAGTTTTTTAGGCAGAGCGCGCTCTCGATTATAAGTGTCACACCAATATATACTCTGCAATAAATTACAAGTGACCGACTTACCTTCGCTGACTGCTTCACGCTAATGTTTGTCTCACGGTTCAGCGAGAATTCTTACAAAATATAAAAACCACCCTGCGGTAATTTAGAGGTGAGTGACCTAACCTCGCCCACGGTTCAACGTGCAATGCCTGACGGTTCTCCCCAAACAATCTACTTCCCACTACTTTTTTGTTTTATTTTGCAGGTGGATTCTTTATCAAATTTGTAGAGCGGAGTTCGTGAATTGGCAATGTACCAAAAAAAAAAGGCCCTTTTGATATCTCCGTGAGTTATGAACCGAATTGCATGAAATTCAATATGAGTATAGCTTTAGCTATATAAAACGCAATTCCAAAAATTGAGTCTAATCGATCAACATTCACAGTGTCCTTTTCGCATTTCGACCATTTATAAACCGAATTGCTACTATTTATGAAGGTATTTAAATGAAAGTTGATACATAGCCACTTTGAATAAAAGAAAAATTAACATCAGGTTTAAAATTTGGTTTTGCACATGCTACAGCCATACCCAGGAGCTCGTTTTCTATATTTGTTTAGTTTATTTACACCCATTTTGGGACACACAACTTTTTCCACTAATAAAAACTAACTGACAGCACTGGAACCTCTGTAGCCGTGGAACTTTTTTCCTGTTCAATCAGATCTCTTGACTCAAGTGGAGTGGAATCCTGCCGACTCTGCAGAATCTACGCTACGTAGTAAACTTGATAACGACGTGTGAACATCATCCATCGTTTCGTAATTCTAGCGAATCTCGCCATCTATCAGGACTTCTTGGCGCCTCAAGTTTTCACACGCATTGAAAAAATCAGGACCACTCTGTTACATACAAAATCGAAATTCTACCAAATAATGATACTACTTTTTAATGGATATTTGTAAATGCATAGTGGGCTTGAGTTGGTAGAACAGCCTTGACCGAAACCCCGGCCATTTAAGTCCAAAAATGAAATAAAATATATTTTGCATGACCAAGTTAAAAAAATTGTGCACAACAAAATTCAACTGCAGACTCTGAACTGAGAATCGCATACGATTTTCAGTAGTCGCCGGAGCGCTGTTGGGCAATTTTTGCCCCTGCTCAAGGACGGTAAGTTTTGGAACTCCACTAGACCCAATCCAATCAGAAAAGGTTTGCTGCAACACAATTTATTAAAGCTATGGTTAATTTTACTCATTGAAATGGTAGCCCAGTAATTCCCATTGTTACTTGGAATTTCGGACCAACAAAAAGGCGTCTTTTTTTATCTATGGAAACTGCACGCTACGGCGACCTTTTGCTTTTAATGCTGGTTTTGAATTAACCTAGGGAAACTAAAATCATCTAATAATTTATTTTCCCGTAATCTTCTAAAGGGCAGCTACCGTTTTCTTAAAAACGAAGCGCCCAATTTTTCGGCTATATATACCGGGTGGTAATTAAAGCTGGTAAACTTCAAAGCGGAAAACTGGTGCTTCGCTACTCATTGAAAAAAACAATTGGTAGTGTTTTTTCAAATGCATTGTCATTACACAGTTGATGACTTTAAAAATATCGTTTGTAATTTCAGGGCCTGATTAAGGTTTCTGTAGGCCAGGGCCAAACATATTAGAAGGCTGAGTAATTTACATTGTAACATTTTAAAACAGCAACTAGACATAGTATTTCTGTACGTAATAGCTAAGGTTAGTTATTTAGTTACATTTGCAGGTTCCGCTATCCAGTCAAGTGAAAAGGAACAAAACGTACCTGCGCTAAGTGAACTTTTCCCCGAGTCATCACCACAAGAGATTGAAATTCCAAATCTAAGCATATTGAATGCGGCCCAACCAAATCAATCACAGTCGAGTCAATCCATAGTGCCTCATTTTGACGTTCTACTATCAGAGCCCAGTAATCTGTTACCTGTGATTGACATAACCGCGACAACCGATTCGTCATCCGAAATCGGTTCGTTGAATTCAAACAGCGGCTCTAACGCCTCGCACAATACGAACGTATCGCAGGGTTCGCAAAGGACGTGCGCCTCGCCGTTACCCAATTTAAGTCTCAATACGGTATTGCCGCATTTCGCTTACGCCGACATCGAAGTTGCCACTGATCACTTTGACACGACACCTTATGTGGAGGGGGGCAGCGGGCGGTTTCTCGGATCGGGCGCTTTCGGTTCCGTATTTCTCGCCTTAAATATCGGCAATAAACCGGTCGCAGTGAAAAAGCTCTTCTTGAATAACGAGGCTGTTGTAAACATCGAGGATCCCGTAACGAAGCAATTTAGAAACGAGGTGGAAATTCTAAGCAAGTACAAGCATGAGAATTTGCTTTCGATTATAGGGTACTCGTGCGATGGGCCTACGTATGGTCTACTGTACGAGT